GTGAGGGTTTTACAAATTAAGTAACCTTTCAAAGAACTTTGCCTTTAAATCTTCCCACTCTGCATGCCTCCAGTTTTAATTCAGATTTTATTTTCATGGTTATTTCTCTACTTTCTGTAGATGAATACTCAGATCACTGTCTTGATTTCTAAGATGTGCTTTTAAGGATATAAATTTCCCTCGAAGCACAGGAAATACACATATTTTGACAGATAATATTTTCATTGTCATGCAGCTAAAATATATTCTAATTGTGTATTTTTTGTAATTCAAAAGTATACTTCTCCAATAGCAAACATTTGGAAATTTTCTATCACCATTTGTTACTGATATGAAGCTTAATTCCCTGGTAATAATGCAGTGTGTGTCATTTGAACCTATGAAACTTGTTGAAACTGTTACGGCCTAGCACATGGCTCATTTTTACTTCTGACATTTTGTCATCTTCTTGGGTTTTATATAAGTAACAAATAATTACACTTGCATGTTTTCCATTCTAATTTTAATATTTCTTTGTCTTGCTACACTGGCTAGAACCAATACAAACAGTAATAAAAATATGTGGGTTTCTTATCTAATTTCTCATTTTAAATGGAGTATTTAAATTTCTCATTTAGGATGACTTTTTTAGAATTAAAAAATATGCAACTGGAAATTCCTTCTAGTATTAATTTCCAATAGCCTTTTCCTTAATAATTGTTGAATTTTATATACTGCTTTTCATGAATATATTGAGTTCTTCTTTTATTGTACCAAAAAGATACACTATAATACTAATTTTTTTTCTGTCAGGCAAAGAAATTACTTGAGTTTTAATGACAATTTTTAAAATAAGTTAATAGGTAGTTATTGAAACATGAAAAGCATTGATGAAATAATATGGTACTATAGTAAGTAGCAACCATGGCACACATAGGATGTCCAGAGACAGGATACTAGGAAAAAGGTTAAGCTTATTAGAGAATGGTGACGTTTACTTAACACTATTGAAGGATCCTAAAAAGATGCCATATAGATAATCAGAGATCTGATTTAAAACTCCACACACCAGCCCGGCACAATGGCACACAGTTGCAATCCCAACTACTCAGGAGACACAGGTGAGAAGATCACTGGAACTCACAAGTTACAGACTGGCCTGGCAACATGCAATCTTACATTAACCTCCATCCCCAAAGCAAAGGTAAATCTGGAGGAGGACACTTGTGGATTTTAAAAACCTCTGTGAAGTATCTAAAATGAACTTATCCTTGTCATGATCATATGCATTACTTTTGTACTTGCTAATATTTTATTTAAAATTTTGTTTTGTCTATTCATGTATGAAATAATCCTAGTTCTCCATTTTTATTGTTTATTTTTCTAGATATAATGTCAAGGCTAAATGGACTTATAGAGTGATTTAAGAGCTATTCCCTTTTGCAATTAACTGCGAGTATAAATTAGAAATTTATTCCTTAGAATTTTGGTAGAAGTTGTCAGCAGAATTGTCAACATTTGCTTCTGTTACAGGGAACGTTTTAAACAAGAACTACATTTATTTTGTCAGTTATAGGAATTTTCAAGCTTTTTATTCTTGATTCATTTTTGTTAAGTTTGTCTCCCTCCCACCCTACCCAGCCTGTTCTTTTTCTAGATGAGCATCAATTTTTTCATTTAAAGGTTTTTCTTCTTTTCTGAAAGAATTTTCCTCAAATCCTGTTTTAACACCTCACATTTAGATAAGCATCTGTGCCCTTTTTTCCCCAAGTATTGCATTTATAATTCCCATTAGAATTTTTCTTTAACTGTTTTAGTAATGTGCTTTCAAATAAACAGGAGAAGTTAAATTAAAAACATCTAGTAACCTCTAAGCAGCTCAACAGTAGAATAAAAGCTTACCACTTTGAAGACCCTGGTTTCAATCCTCAGCACTCAATTTTTAAAAACAAGTAAAAGAGAATGAAAGAGTAACTACTAGTAAGGTAGGGGTAGTGAAATAAGAAACAACTTTGAACCAAAATAGTTAGAAAGGAGGAGTAAGTTCTAGTGCTTTACAACAGTGTGACTATAATTTGCAATAACGTATGTTTGATGAATTATTTAACAGAGGCGCTAAAAGATTCCAAAGACACAATAAGATGGAGATGCAAGTTACCTTAATTTGATGAGTACAAGCTGTACACATGTATTGCAATAGCACCATGTACCCTATATATACAATTAAAACTTTTAATTGAGATAATAGTTACACACTATGTAATTCACCTACTTAAAGTTAACAATTCAGTGGGTTTTGGTACACTTAAAGAACCATCACTAATAATTTGTTTTATTCCATGTAGACTGTTGTAACAAAATACTGTGAACTAGTATCTTTTTTTTGGTACTGGGGATTAAACTCACGACTTCATGCTTGCCAGGCAGACACTTATGCCACTGAGCCAAATCCCCAGCTAAACTAGTATCTTATAGACAACATAAATCTACTCAATTTTGGATGCTGCAGAGTCCAGGATTTGCAGAGTCCAATGTATTGTAACTCCACTTGAGTATATACCAAAAGAAATGAAGCAGAACTCAGATTATTTTTTCACCCTTGCTCATAGTAACATTAGTCAAAACAGCCTTGCAGTCATTATGCTAGTGAAAAGTTCATAAATACTATGGTTCCACCTATGGGCAAGGTCAAATTCATACACGCAGAAAGTGGCTGCCAGAGAGGAGGAGGAGGAAAACACGAGTTAGTTACTGCTAACAGGTACAGTTTCAGTTTGGGAGGATGCAAAGTACAGCAGTAATGGCTGCACAACAAGGTGAATGCGCTTAATGCCACTGAACTGTGTACTTAAACATGGCTAAAAATTTTAGGTTATACATATTTTACTGCAATAAAAAATTTCTTAAAGAAGAAAAAAATGTTTTAAATGTTAACAACTTTTTATTGGCCAGTAGAGTTCCAGTACAGTGTTAGCAATCAGAGGCTAGCAGAATGACAGCCTCACTTTCTAGTCCCTATAAAAGAGTAAATTAGAATACACCCTTTCAAAAGGTTTCTGGTGAGGGATAGTCATTAGGGAAAGCTAAGTTTTCATTAAAGTGAAGTATGTTAAAAAATGCTGATGCTATAATTAAATTTTTAAAAAAGTTTTAAACAGTGCAACCTAGAAGAGTGCTTAAGTAAATAATATAGGGATGACAACACAAGGTTGTTAACTTGGAAAATTCAGATGAAGGAGAAGAAACGAGACTGAGAATCAAGAAGAGAGAACAAAGGAAGCTGGTGAGAAGAATGATCCTCTCCAACTCATTCCAGCCATGACTCCTCCCTCTCAGTGGATGTTCTAAATCAGTCAGTAAACCGACGGCACATGTGCTACACCAGGCTGTTGTATCAATAAAAGCACTACAAGAGTCGCCATCACTGCTCTAACCTCTTCCAGTGTCAGGCCCTGGTCTAGAATGGCAAGTTTAACAGGGCCCGTATGGAACGTACATTTATTTTGAGAAGGGGTCTCATTGTGTGGCCCAGGCTGGGCTCTCATCTGTGACCCATGGCCTCTCCAGGACCTGGGATTATAGGTGCGTGCCATCATGCCTGGCTGCAGCTTACATTTTAATGTGTTTTTCCACAACCATATCAAATCACAAATAAAAGGACTATTTTTACCCATGTAAAGTCTACCAATAATGTTTTCAAAGTTTTAAAAAGTGATTGTCTACCTCATAATTCTATTATGGTGAGAAATAAATGATCAAAGCCGAAACGGTGTTTGTGGTCACTTGCAATGCAAGCGCATGGTACTCTGACTATCTCATGTATACATGTTGTCGGACAAGGAAAGCTACCAGCTTGTTCAACTCAAAGAAACTGGAATCCAGGTCCTACCTATCCTTACCTGCCAATTTTAGAGTGAAAGATGCCTACAAGGAAAAAAAGCAGATTTTGTAGTGTGTTTTGTTTTGTTTTTTGCAGTGGTGGAAAGTGAACCTAGGGCCTTTGTGCTGAAGTAAATGCTCAACCATTTTTATTTTGAGAGAGTCATGCTTTCCTTGACCAGGTTCAAATCCTCTTGCTTCAGGCTGCTTTAGGCTGCCACAATGCTGAGTTTAAAGACCTGCACCACAACTTTCAATGATTCAAGTTGAGTAATTCTACCTGAAATCCTCAAGGACCAGAAGAGTTGATTTTGTGTATTTGTTTATACATAATAAAACATTTTGGAGATGGACCCAAGACTAATCATGAAATTCACTTTTTCATACATACATACACTTATTCATATACACAGTCTACACAGATTTACCCAGTACTTTTTAGTGCACTTACATTTTGACTGCAACCTGTCACATGAGGTCAGGTGTACAACTTCCTTTTGTGGTTTTACATTAGTGCTCAAGTTTTGGATTTGGAAGCACTTTGGATTAGGAATGCTTAATCTGTATTGTATCTGCATACATCAACTTTTAATCTTCACACACTTAAAATTATTACCCACAACTCTAGATTTTTCCAAAATGAAATTAATCCAGATTAACTTAATTCTTTTAACAATAAGTCAAAATACTTTTGGGATAGTGAAAAAATGCAATTCAAATTTCATCCTTGTTTTGTTAATGTAAAATTATCAATATATAACAAAAGTGATGTAAGCCAGTCAGTCCTACGTAAAGCTAATTTAAAACCCATGGGGACAATCTAACCTGGAGGGTTCTATTAAAGAAAATCCACCAATTAGGCCACAGTGTTAAAATTTCCAAAATTTGCATTACCCCATTAGATTATTCCATTATTTTCAAAACACATTTGTTAACAGGTAAATGGAGGGCTTATATATGTAAAAAGAAATGGTAAATCACTTTTTCAAATTTAAGATGCTACATAATACAAACACAACAAAACCATAAAACTTAATTTGTACTTAAAAGTAAGGAAAAGTAGAATTACTCATTTAAGGAAAATAGTTCATACAGAAGTAATAAAGGGATTAAATAGTCCAATAATGATTCTTAGAGCTTACCTCTAAAACACGACTAGCCTTGCATACTGAAGGTCCCTCAGGCTCGCCCACCATACTCTGACAAGGAGACTGTGACAGAACATCTGAAGAGCCAACAGGAGTCTAAAAACAATAAAACAAGGGCAGTTTTTATCTCGAAATAAAAACATAAAATTTAAACATCACAAAAACACATCCCAAGAGACACTTGATATATACTCATGTTTGATACACACATGGTTATGGCTGATACGATACCTTTGTCACGGATATCACATGGATAGTGGCAGCTTTTGTGCTATTTAAAAAAACTGCATCTGTCCTTTATAGACCCCTAAAGAAGTGCTTGGGGCCTCAACACTCACCTATTAACATGGGAAAACAAGTTACAGAATGAAAACAGAAACTAGTTCATCCCATAATTAAATTTAAAATACTATGTTAAAACATGGCCTTCCCACTGAACTCCAGCCTCTTTAAATTCTTATCTTTTTAAAAAATTAGCACAATACAGGATGCCTTTACATATATATGCAGTTTTTTTCTTTCCTTTTTTTTGAGACAGAGTCTCACTAACTTGCTCAGGTTAGACTTGAATTTACAATCCCCTTTCAGCTTTCTAAAGTATTGGGATTACTGTCATATACCAGCATGCCACACTTGAGTTTCTGTTGTTTTGTCTTTAGTGAGTGAGTCTTTAACATGACCCCTGTAATATGAATATTCTAGCACAGTGGTGGGATACGTCTGGTGTACATTTCGTGGCAGGCTGCCTTTATCACTGAAAACTCTGAAGATTGCCTTCACTGCTCTAGCATTTAAAAACTGTAAAGACATAAGCAAGCAGGACACTTGATTTTAATACTCTTACCCTAGATTGGTCAAGAATTTGAAGTTTTTCCCATGTTATTTTATCATTTTCAGATTTTTCCCCAAAATTATTCTGTTTTTCACAGGCTGCTTTTTCCTTCTTCTTTAAAGCAACCTGTTCATCTGTAAATAATGTCCTTTTTAAAAATTTGTACAAAAACTGTAAGAAAAGAATCATGTAAACAAATCATGACCTTCTTAAAGAGTGCAGATTCTAACACAGACCTAATAAAAACTGTTTTTTAGAGATAGTAACTCAGAAAGCAGAGAAGTTTTAGGGACATGAAGTAAAATAATAACAAACTTAAATAGAACACAAATGGATATAAGAACTTTTATTTTTATTGCAGTTGTCAAAATGGAATTATTTTTAAGAATAATTTAGCTTAGATTATGCTGATGCTGTATTTTCCTATTCATTCATTTAGTTACCACTAAGAGAATTAAAACCTAGACCTCTGAAGGCAAAGAACAATAAGATCAACTTCAAGTTTAAGTACTTCAAAACTATCTGACTATGGACCAACAGTCTATTTCCCTGTCTGAACCTTAGTTTCTTCTGAAAAATGAGAATAACTGTGCTTAGTGTTATTACCACAAAGCAGATATATTGGTCATTATTTTTCATAATTGCTGAAAAATTTTTTAAAAAGCTTACATCTAACAGATACAATCAAAACTAAGCCTCAAATCATTAACAGTTCTTTTGATATAAAATTCAAAGATGTATACATTTAAATTCCAGGACAATTAATGAAAGCATGACTTAAAGAGATGTCTTTCTGATACTACTATCATAAATTTAAATTTCTTCATCTCTATTATCTTGACTTCTAATATCAATTAATTCCTTATTTCTGTTGCTTATTTCTTTTTGTAAACTCTTTTTCCTATCAGAGTTAGTAACTATCTAACAGGACTTCCCAGGTGCATGGAGAGTGAGGCTGTCTCATGCTTTGAGTACTGTATATCTATCCCTAAGAGGTACAAATGCTAAGCTTTTCCAAATGGTGACAGCTAGATCTTAAATCTAATCTAACAACCAATTGGAGTTCTTAGTTACTAACAGAAATTCATGACTATAAAACAAGTTATACACTTTTTCTGTTACTACAGTCTCAGGCTATTAAAATTTGTATCTAGATGTCCTTCTAAAGCCTCATATTGTTATAGGTGGGGCTTTTCAGAGGTGGATGGATTAAGGTGCATGATGCAGGGATTAAGTGTATGATGCTGGCATTCAACATGTGTGATTACTAAATTAATCCACTAGTTGGTCTGGCACAGCTCTGGGTGTAGATAAAGGGAAGGCTCACTTTGTGTGCTTAGAACCATCCAAAGGGCAGGCAGCCTCAATGGACAAAAAGGGATGGAGAAAAGCTAGGCTTGCTGCTGCTGCTGCTTCTCTGGCGTTCTGCACACTGGGAGCTGTTTCTTCTCTGCAGTGCCCCACTGCCATGCCACCCTACCTTTGAACCAGCCAGCTATGAAATGAAATTTCTACAACCTGTGAACTGAAATAAACCATTCCTCCTTTAATTTTGGGTGTTGAGTATTCTGTCTTAGCAACGAGAAAAGTAACTAAGACACAAGTTGACAGCAGTAAGCTAGTTACTGCCTAGAATATATTGGTTTGTATCATATTCAGTATTCGTAAGTAAAATGTTTTGATTATTTTAAAGATTGAAGTTAATTACTTTTAATAAAACCCTCCTTAACTTTACAGGATTTCTGTCATGGAAACCATAAAAGCTGGAAGTTTACCAGACTTTGCTTGAGCTATAGAGGCTTGAGAAGATCACCAGTGACATTAATGCTTTGAGGGCACATCACACAGTACCAAACAAAAAAACACAAGTGAAAGTAAGTGAAACCACAGAGTTTGTTTGCAGAGAACTATTCTAGATGTCAATGTAGTAAACGATTTTTGATAATATTTAAAAAGTATTTCCTCCTTACTATATAATCCATAAACCAACAAAAGTATAATAAAAGGTACAAAAATTACATACCTAGCTCTTTCCTCCATTGGGCTTTTTTTGCTTCCAATAAACTTCTATCACGTTCCCTTTCACCAAGAGTACTGAAAATGTCAGCTGGTTTCCATTCATTTTCTCTAAGGTAAAACACATACAAAAAAAAAAAAAAAACAAATCTTATCATTATATGTTTCTGCATTACTAACTGCAAAATACTAAGTAACAAGGTTTTAAATAGTTCTAAGTCTTCAGAGTAAATATTTCCCGTGCAAATAAAGCAAAAGCAAAATCATATTCCCAAGATGATCGCATACCAGTAGGTAAGTTACATACATGATGATTTTCTGTTCATACTGTTTCAATGTCTTCTGGCTTTCATTAACCACAGATTCAATTTCATTTGGGATAGGAGAAATGGTTTTGCTGAGTAATCCTATAGTGTTCTCTTTCTTTGGCTGATTAGGAATACTGTTTAAATGCAGTCTATCCTGATCTAGGAAGTAAAATGCATGTTTTAAAATTAATAGTAAATTACATCGATTGCAATACCTTATCTTGGCATACTGCTCTACGGTTTAAATAGTTTTATACATTTTTTAAAATAAACCTCCATTCTTATAATATAGTTTCACTAATTATATAAATTATAACACAAATCACAACGTAAGTGGGATGGAAATAGCTTACTTAATATGTTACTTTGACCTTATTTTTCTCATTTAGCTGTGAAATCAGTGGTACTTTTCTCATGGACTCTATGCCCCTATTGTAACAGCTAAACCATGTTTTTACAGAAAGCTCATATGCTGGATCAAAACTTGTTCTAAATCCTTAATGTGCTAGCTATCTCAATGAAGAGAAAGAATATCTAGTTTACAAGTCATTACCTGATTAGGTAAAGTGTATAGGTTTTCATTTATTTTTGGCAGTGCTGGCAGTTGAGCCCAAGACCTCCAGGGCTCCACCACTAAGTTACATCCCCAACACCCCATTTTTTTTTTTCTGTTGGTCTTCTTGAGACAGGGTCTTCTATGCAGTTCAGGCTGGCCTTGGACTCACTCTCAGGTTGGTCTCAAACTTTCAACATTCCTCTGCCTCAGCCTCCTGAGTGCTGGGATTACAGGTGTGTGCCACCATGATTGGCCCATCCTTTTTCAACTTTTTATTTTTTACTTTATTTTGTGACATTTATTTGCCCACTCTGGCCTCACACATGCAATTCTCCTATCTCATCCTCCAATGTAGCTGGGAGGATGTGTACCACGAGGCACAACTTCAAAATTTGTTTTAAAATTTTTTTGATATCCTCTTTCATTATGCCCAATAAATTATTCTATAAATTAGCAGTCCAGTCTTATAGACAAACAAGCGCCCTCATTTGACAAAGAATAATCTGGACTAAGAGAGGATAAAAGATTCTATGTAAAAATCTTGGGAGTGTATAGGAATTACCTGACACCCAAACTAGCTCTGAGGAAACTAGCTATTCTCCATGGAAAATGTTAATTTTATTTTTATTTCACTGTTGCCTAAAAGAATTTTAATGACATTTCTACTACCCTTATATTTAGCTTCTTAGCTCAAGGCTGAAATTAAAAACGTTTAAAACATAATACGATGTCCTTAGTTTGCAAACAAAACATTTAACCCTGTACTACTACTTCTGCGAATAAGTCTGTGTTTTAACTCAGTTAAAGAACAGTACTTCTAGGTATCTTCTCAAAAGAGTTAAAAGAAATCATGTTACACTCCTATGTATATACTCATTTATAGCAGCACAATTTATACTACCTAAATCTTAGAAGCAACCTATATGCCTGTTGACACATGAAAATTTAAAAAAGTATGATTTTGGTACACAATGAAGTACTATTCTGTCACAAAGAATAAACTTGAGCTATCTATAGGAAAATAAATGTACCTTGAGACCATAATGTTAAATGAATCGGATAAGTTTACAAAATATCACATGGTTTTTCTTTATGACAAACCTAAAATATAAAGACCAAAATAATACATAACAGCAAATAGGGAGATAGATCTTTGGCAAGTGGGAAGGAGACCAGAAACAGAGGGAAGGGCAGAAGGATAAGAGGATGAATAAAGAATTTATATGCATTATATACATGTACCAGCGCCCCATGAGGAATGTAATCATTATGGGCTGAAACATGTACTAATAAAAATAAAAATTGGAAAACAATAGTAGTATCACTAATCCTCAGCATGGATTAAGGAATGGAAAGAGCAAATACAAGAGTCAGAAAAGCAATGTTTTTTAGCAACTCATGTTCACACTTGGGTTCCCTTAATTTTCACTAGCAATATCCTAGAAGGGATTTTAAAAAACACATTTTATATAATTATTTTACATATAAAAAAAGCCCCCTAAATTCTAAAATAAATACAAGAGTTTTGTATTAACATCTCTTCTGGACTCCACAGAGATCAAATTTCTTAAGATTATAATGCATAACAGTAGCATTTAGGGTATCAACCTTAAAATATGGCATATTACAACTATAAAAGTAATTTGGTATATTGTAAAATCTTCCAAAATAATAAAAGATTGTCACTTGTTAAAGAGAGTTAGATTTTAGTTTATACAAGGGCAAATATATTTGAAATTCTAAAAAGCACGGACAAGAAAATTCATATTCAACAAAATTTAAGAAAAATCTTACTTGTTTCTACCTCCTTTTCAATCTCAGTCAGGGAAACTGATCCTTTCCCTTGGTTTGCAGTCATCAAAATTTGTTGCAGTTGTTCTTGTGTAAGACACACCAAACCGCTATTCATATTTTCAGCTGTGATATGCTTTTTGCAAGGCATCTGTTTAGCTCCTGGAGATGTATTTGTGGTATTTCTAGTCTTCTGCACATTAGGGGCTGCAGGTGAACGTTCTTTTTGTGTGAGAAGACCATCTTCATCTGTACATGGCTTACGTAAATCCTGAGTGGGTGAGAATGTCATTCTACTTTTTTCACATCTTGCTTGTGAAGTTTCCAAACCAACTGTCTTCTTTTGCAAAATTTTTTTGTTTCCAATAAAAGCATTTTGTGTTGACTTGAGGCTGTTCCTCGGTTGTTTTGATCGTAAGGGCCATTGTGCCATCTTAGTCTTACTGCCCATCTGTTAAAATAACAGAAGCTTATTCCTTGTAACAATCCATGGAAAATCAACAACTATCTTTATTTCCATAATCGGTGACAAATCAGCCCTCTAAGCGTTTTTCATTTTGCTATTTATATAATAATGCCACAAGAAATTAATGCTAAACTTTGCAAATTTTCACTAAAAGCTTAATCAACAACTAGGAATTATTTTACTTCCAGATAAGAACACACATAAACTTTTTTTCTACTTGTTACTGAGCATCTCCATTCTATTCCAGCTTTGGTCACTACATGTCACCACTCCTATTACACACTCTTCTCTTTACATGCATCGATAGACACATAGGTTACTAGCCTTTATTTCTTGACTATCTTAGCTTTTTGGTCAACCTCTAACAGACTTTATGTGTCTGTGTCTCTCTGTCTCTCTGGGTGTATGTGTGTTCCTGGGAACTGCTCTACCTGTGAGCCTAGCCCTTTTAAAACATTTTAGAAAAAGGGTCTTATTAAATTCCCAGGCAGGCCTTAGGCCTGCAATCCTCCTGCCTCAGCCTCCTGAGTAGCTGAGTTTACAGGCGTACACTACCATGCCCAGCTTAATTCTGATGCTTTCACATTCACACACATCAGTCCTCCAACACCTGCCCTTTATTTCCTCTGACTCTGCTCCCGTGTCAATGATGGTGAAATTATGGTATTCATGCCTCAGTTGTGCTGTTGGTTATGCTGGTGAAAGTTTTAAAAGGTTTGCCATAAATATCCTATGCTATTGTGCTCCATGCTACTGTACCTCACTCATGATCATAATGACATTTTCTACTGACCTTGTAATTACCCACAACTGTCCAAGCACTAGACAATGATCACCACCAACTTATTTTTTTCCAACTCACTTTCTCCTATATCCCAATTCAAAAAGTTCTTTAAACTCTGATAGAATCTAGAATCTGCTGGTCCTATTACCTCTCTCTTGCTCTCATTTCCCTTCTGAACAATATTAAATTCCACAGTAACCCAAAATCACCTCTTTCATTCTTTTCTCCTTTGCTCTGCTCTTTTCATACACACTTAGCAAATCCAAAACGTGGTACCACCTTTTCACCCACTCTGTACCTGTGCCAGTGGAGGAAAACACACCCAGCTAGCTGGTTTTACCTTGTCTATAATTACAGGTTTCTAAAAGACATTTCAAACTCAGTATGTCCAAAACTGAATTCATCTTTTTGCCCCTCCATAACTTCTTCACCCTCTCAGTCACTTCGCCATCTCAATTGCTCACAACCAAAGTGTTGCAACTATATTTGAACGGTTTCTCATATGCCATCCTTGTCATCAAATGCTATTTTACAGCATCTTCAAAACACATCCCTTCTTGCTCCCTTGCTCCAACCTACTCTCACTGAGTTACCACAAAGCCTTCTAACTGGAATCCTAGCTTCTCATTCCATTTCTAACACAGTAATTACCTTCACATTTAAGTCAGACCATGTCATTGCCTTCCAAAGTCTTCTGTGGCTTTTCATCTTGGCTGAAGGCAAAGCTGAATTTCCAATGATCTAAAAAGCCCTTAATCTATGAGCACTTCCTCTTCCCTTCTTTCTTCTCTTCCCCTTGTCTCTTTTGCCCTCAGTATCTCTCATATCTGATCTAATCTTCTCTCATTCGTCAGCCACACATGCTTCTTGCTCTTTGAACTCAACAGAGCTTTAGCACTAATTCAGCCCTCTACCTGGAACATTCTTCTTCAGATTCCTCATAATTATTTTCTGTCTTCCAATCTTTGTTTAAATATTATCTGCCTAGTGAGGTCTTCCCTAACTGCTGCTGTACCCATACCCTGCTTCTCTAGCCTTCCTAGAGAAGGCTAAACTAGTAAGTGATGATGTTCTTCCCTCATTTTTTCCCCTTCTTTTCAGTTCTGATGATTAAACCCACAGCTTTTACAATGACTTACATTCCCAGCAGTCTTCCATTTTTTTTAAGAGACTGCATCTCACTAAATTGCTTAATTGTCCAGGCTCAAGTTTGCACCCTCTTGCTTCAAACTTTCACAGTACTGGGATTACGAGCAGGCACGACCATGCCCAGCTTTTTGTATTACAGCATCTATTTGCTTAGAGAGTACTCATCTTACACTTTCCTAATATAAGCTCTCTAAGCAGAGATTTTTGTCTGTTTTGTTCACTCCTGTATTCCCAGTACCTAGAGTAGGTAAATGAGACAGAGCAGTGTTTAATACATTTTGGCCCAATACGTTCAACTATTCTACTTATGCCATAAATTCTATACCTCTTGCTCTCAAATTAACTCCCTTTCCCAAAATATTCCACTTCTGTGGCACTGTTACTCTAATTCAGGCCAGTAACCATGAAGTCACTTTTGAACCTTTTCCTTCAGGTCTTCCTTTGTTTATCTGCAAATACTGTTTCTTCCTCCCAAATATCTTTTCCTTATCTTTCACATGATAGCAAGCCTGAGTTTAGGTTTTCATTACCACAACCAGATTATTCATCTTGCTTATCTAGCTGCTATAATCCACTGTACATTTCTGTAACCTAAAATAATTCAATAATCATTTAATAAATATTAAGTGTTGCTTTTTATGTGCCCACCACTATGGGAAAAGTGTTGGGGATATAAAATGAAGAAGACATTCTTGATGTCAAAGATTAGAAGCCATAAAAACTCATCTAGCTACTCTAAATTTCCTTTGTCTTTCAAGAAACTGCGTAATATACCTAAAAATCTCTTTATCACATTATTTATCTTGTCCTGTTCATACTTGGGTTTATGTTTTTGGTAATACCAGTATTTGATTCTAAAATGTATTTCTTAAAATGAATTTGGAAAAAGAAATTTCTACTTTTCCAACCCTGCAGCTATTTTAATGTCCTGTACTTCTCTAAATGAAGGGCAGCAAACTCAAACATCTACCATAAACTAAACAAGACGGGAACTAGGGTGAATGCAAGCGCTTCCTTCCCATCTGAAGGAGACTAGCAATGCAAACAACCATTCCACATTACCAGAAAGAAACCTGAATCATCGCTAAGTTAGCCCACATTCAAGGAGGCTAGAGACTGCCAAATCTTACATTAGATTGTCTAATTTTTAGATGGCAAGTCATTCTTAATCAATCAAGCAAATTATCAGCGGAATGCACTTAAGTAGATAAATATCACCATCTCAGTATGTTTCCAACTATTACAGCTTCTTCTGATCATCCCTTCTTTTGACCCATAAGGACTTTTTCTGGGAATAGTTGAACATTTTAGTTGTCTATTAAACTAGTTTATCTGTATTAAACTGGTTTATATCAGTTTATCTCAAGCTACATTATGCATTGCTTTAAAATATCTTGAAAATCTCTTATTTCTGTCTCTTTATCACTATAGTATCAATTATATTCAGATTACTAAATAAGGAAAAGCAACCTGGATCAAATTATTTCCCAAATATTTTCTGAGTCAGATTAATTTTAATTAATCAAATTAGGACTTTATATTACAAAGCATTTTAAAAACATAAAAATGTATTAAAACAAAAATACAGCATGTTACTCTTTTACTTACTTTTAATCCTATCAATAGTTTTCATAATATTATAAAGACAATGTTGAACACATTTATTTAATACTGACATTTCAGTTTATACAGGGACAAAAATCTGTCAAAAAAGGAAGCAAAGAAAAATAATATACTTTTTTTGTTTTTATCTTTTTGAGACAGGGTTTTGCTCTGCAGTTTGAGCTGCCTTAAACTCACTTTGCAGCCCAGGCTGGCCTCAAGCTCACAGCAATCCTGTCTCAGCCTCCCTAGTGCCGGGATTACAGCGTGTGTCACATCTGGCCTTTACTGTATTACTGATTCTCACATGTACAAATATCCATGAAAAATCTTTCCTCCTTTTTTGAGATGAGCTCTGGCTTATGGTATCAGGTCAGCAATCAGTCCTCTAGGTTCAGCTTCCCAAGCAGCTGGGACTACAGAGGAGTGCAAGCACAACTGATCAAAATTATTTTTCATGTTTTATATTTCAACATCTTTTTGAGACTATCTTAAGTATAACAGTTTTAGAGTCCATTATTTTTATAAACTAGTTACAAGACGAAAACATTTCTAATTCCTTCATTTCTCCTCCAATAAGCATAAGAAGTTAGGCAGTGACTATCTTTACTTCATATTCATTATGAAGACTAAAAAAGAATGCAGAAGAGCTTTTGATAAAATCAGGAAAACACTCTAATCACATGTGATGAGATACAGTTCAGCTGTCTTAAAAACACAATGTGGAGATGAAGTAATTCAACCTGTGAGAAATGGGAAAACAAAATCATTGGTATCACAGTCACACAACTGCCTACCCCAGTAAAGAGAAAGAAAAGCAGCTGTTGAGAAATTGATGACTACCTTACAGAAAAGAGAATTCAACATATAGCTGTGGCACTGTGACACTCAAGAGATTCAAAAAGTAATCAAAACAAAAAAGACAAGAATTACTGACTGTCCTGTTTGGGAAGAGCAAAAAACAGGAAGGAAATGGATCACGGCAACTTCTGTGAATATGGAAAAGAGAAGCTTCTTAAAAACAATCAATACAGAAGGTGTCAGGATTTCGAAGCCTATATACAGCAGGGTGAACCCAATTTGCTTTAACACAGTATATAAATGAAGATAAACATCAGCTGAGAACACACATACATTATATACACACACAGGTCTTTTTATACGAAAAAGAAAAAATACCTAAGATAAAATATCTGTACATAGTAGACACAATTTTGTAATGATTCAACCAAAAAGTCAAGACTAGTAACCTTATTAAAGAACTGAAAGAGATCTCCAGATGTTCTGAGTTGATTAAAAAGATAATAAAGTATTGGGGGCTGGGGATTTAGCTCAGTGGCATAAGCACCTGCCTTGCAAGCACGTGGTTGTGAGTTTGAACCGATAAAAACAAACAAAAAACAAAAACAAAACAAACAAAAAAGATAATAAGGTATCTTCACAAGTGTGGCAAGTATAACAAATCTGTTAAGGATATAAGCAGGAAGAAGGAACAATGTGGAAAGAAAATAGAGGCCTGGGTTAGACAGAAATCATTACAAATAGCTATTCATTTAGAAGCTTGACAGAGGACGTTGTATTTGTAATGTGTCTCAAATACAAGTGGTTAGTTGGAATATTTTGATAGGAGAGGACATCATTTACCATCTGTGTTTCATGAGTAAGGAGTGTGCAGTCACCTACACACTATATATACATACTACACAGTAGTTCCCACAGGGACTATGATAGTCTGCAAAGTTCCCATTTCCTCCACAGCCGACATCTGAAACTGAAGCTAGGACCAAACCCTACTAACAAGCCTTGTGATAACACAACAGTCAGTCTCCTGAGATGGTTACTGAATGGGTATGAACACACAGAATGATTCACTCCCATGGCAAGACAGAGTGAGAATGCATCACACTACTCCACATGATACACAATCTAAAACTAATAAACCATTTCTGGAATTTTCCATTTACTATTTTCAGACACCAATGACCACAAGTACTGAAAACACAAAGCAAAACCATAGAAAATAGAGACAAATGTATTCATATACAGAACTAATTAAAGGTAGCTTGCAGAATTTCTGTTGTACTGTATCAATTTTCACTTTGACTAAACCTGTATGAAATAACACAGCTATAAAGGGCTCAGGGTTGAAGGGCCACTTCAACGCCACATCATCAAAATAAACTTTACCCACAGAAAAAGACTTTAAGATACTGCAAAGGTAAAGGACAGAGGCGCTACTGTAACTTACGCAGTAAGGAGAAATTCCTACCCATATTTATCTAAAAACAGAAAAAGAAAACCAGGAACAAGAAATGTAGTGGAAGTTAAAAGCGGTAATATATTTTAGAGAAAGAGGCAGAATGGGCTCCTGAAGAAGGGAAATTACCACTAAGTTCAAGTGTAACTTTTTAAAGGAAAAAGTTACATGGATGTAAGCATTTGTTAATCAAATTTCCTTTTTGGTGTGGGTAACTGGAATTTCAATGTGAAAAAATATTTTTGTTTTAAAGTCTGTTAATTTTAGAGGTTTCTAAAAACTTCACTGTCCTGTGCAATAGTAATGAAATTTAACTGAAAATTATGTGAAATTAGCAATTCAGTTCCTCTGTTACACTAGCCACATTTTAGGTCTAGTATGGACAACAATGATCTTACATGTTCGTTTTCATAGAAAACTTCACTAGACAGCATTGATCTAAAGAGACTTTATCAGGCTCTCACGTGGGAAAAAATACAACTACATTTCTGTGAAAGGACCAGCCTAAAAACAAATAACTTTTCCTAAAAACAATCTTTGATATTTTCCAGGAATTATCTTTAAACAAGTGGGGAAAAAAACTCTGCATTTTACATCTGAAAACACATCAGGTCAAAGTCATTTGGCTTACCTTCATAGAAATGTTTGATTTATGTTCTACAAAAGAAAAAATGAATTACTAATTGATAAACCAAAGGCAGTCACAAAAGAAAATTTTAATTAGTGCACTAACTTTCAATCCTGCTTCAGTGTTCCAACTTTTACAACATGGTACAACTATTATATTTATTTCTACTGCATTTCTTTATCACTTATCTTTCAAAGTTAAAAAACGATTAGTGCTGTGAATACATTGAAGGAGCAGATAACCAATATGAAGTTGAAAAACTAATATTAAATATGACTTTAGCAACTGTGGTCTATTAATTTGACATATTCAAGCAATAACTTCTTTATATGCAAAGAACATAATTACCTACATTTCACCTATGTCATGCATTAGCCAATAATATTCACTATGTGCAAAAACAAAGAACAAATAAAATTATACATGAAATACAATGCAACATTAAATTTTATAAATCTGAATATTTACAAGAATAAACATTGATGTAATCTGACCTTCCATGACTAAAAGTAAATTTAAATTAGTTTAGGAAAACAGCTTTTTTCAAAGTATCATTCAAATACCACTCTATTACAAAGGGAAAAAAGTCTATTAAATGACTATAAACTTTATGTAAGAATTTTAAGTTAAAATTTGAGACCACTAGTAATACAGCATACCATATGGAGATAGTATTAGCTTGGTTTTTCCATCCAATAATTCAGTTTCAAGCTTTAAACCATCTCTGTAATATAAAAGAAAATTGTCATTTAAAAAAAATAGTAACATTTTAAATATCTAAATATATTCATTTGAACCTTTAAAGTAAATCTGTTCTTTTGAATTTCTGTAAGAATCTTGTACATATCAAGACAATCTTAAGATGTTTTTCAATCCAAGAAAGGGAAGGGACTACAGGGAGAAATTTTTTCTTGAAACTTTTCTGTAATACAAGATATTGTTATCTTTAACCTGAAACTTCATCTTTGTTACTGTTAACTACTTAAGCCAGCTATCATATCATCTTTTAAGTCATAACTAAACTGAAAAAAAAAAAAAAAAAAAAACAAGTTACCAAAACTCCTCATCTAAGTAAAGGAACAAGTCCTATGTATCATTTTGTCAGTTTGCCTTTTATTTTGTCTTTTTGTGATAGGGTCTCGCAGTGCAGTTCAGGCTAGTCTTGGGCTCACTTTGTAGCTCAGGCTGATCTTCTACTTGCAATGATCCTCCTGCCTAAGCCTTCCAAGCGCTGGGATTACAGGAGTTCGCCACCATGTCTGGCTCCAGTTTGCCATTTTATGCAGAGCTGGAACACCAGACTATAATAATGCCACCCGGCTCAGCATGGTGCTCCACTTCATTTTGAACATTTCAAATACACATTCATATCTAGTGACTCGTTATTATTACAACAATAAATCTACTATAAATTTTGTATGCTGTGATACTTTTTATGTGCTATGACATGATATCATACATATATCCTAGTAGGACACTTCATATGTGCGTGTCAAAAGCACAAGCATAATGGAATATTAGACACTGCCCAACAATTATACACTTGTTAAGGGACTAATTACAAACTCTGGAAAACAAAAGTAGCAGTCCATTCAGTAATTCACTATCTTACTAGGAGGAAAAACAAACAATCCCCCCCCAAATGTAAGTCAATACATATTAACAGGGACAAAAGTGAAGTCCCTGAGATGAAATTAAAATCCAATCAGTCTATTTCATAGAACTAGAAAAAAACAATCCTAAAACCATATGGAATCAAGAGATCCAGAATTGGAAAGCAATCCTGAACAAGCCAAAGTAGGAAGAATCACAATCTCAGATTTCAAATTCTATTTACAAAGCGCTAGTGATAAAAACAGCATGGTACTGCACAAAAACAGACATGTGGATCAGTGGAACGTAACTGAGGATGTAAAAACAATCCTAGGCACATTCAGCCGCCTGCAATTTGACAAAGGGGTCAACAATGTTGGCTGAAAAAAATAGCCTCTTAAATGGTGCTGGGAAACTGATTATATACCTGCAAAACAATGAATCTTAAGGCTATCTCACACTCTGTACTAATATCAAATTAAAATGAATCAAAGACTATGTATGAAGACAGAAACACTGAATCTGCCAGAAGATAGAGTAAGTATAGTTCTTGAAGACATAGTCACATTTTTTGTATCGAACCCCAACTGCACAAGAAACACCACCAACAATCCACAAATGGGACTACGTGGGATTAAAAAGCTCCCGCTGTTTAACAACCTAGAGTGAAGAGACAACCTACAGAAAGGAAAAAAAAATAAAAAATTGCCAGCTATTGCTCAGAGGACTAATAGCTAGAATATATAAGGAACACAAAAATTAGACTCCTTGAATAAAAGACACAGTCAAAACATGAGCAAATGAACAGATACTTCTAAGTACAAATGTTTAATAAGTACATATTAAATGTTCAACATCTCTATCCATTAGAGGAAAGCAAATTAGATCAACACTGATATACCATCTCCCTTGAGAAAGAATGGCTACTATCAAATAACGAATCCTAGTGAGGCTGCAAGAGTGTAAATACATTGTTGATGTCAATGTAATTTAGTACCACCACTACAGAAATCTCAAGAAACTACAACTAGAAATTCCATTCAAACCCATCTATTCCTGTTCTAAGTACTTCCCAAAAGAATCATAGTACAGCGATACATGCATACTCCATGTTTATGGCACCACAATTCATAGTAGCTAAATCTTGGTAGCAGCCTTATGTCCATCAACAGATAATGGATAAAGAAAATGGGGTATTTGTATACAATGGAATACCACTCTGCCATAAAGAATAAACTTGAGTCGATTGAGGGAAAATAGATGTACCTTGACATCACAATGTTAAATGAAATAAAGCATACACACAGCTTAAATGTTTGTTATATAAGAAGCTCGCTATATAAATAATTTTAAGAGCAAAGTAAAGGAGATGAAACGAAACAGGGAGGTACACTTTGTGGGGATGGGAAGGGAATTTAGAGAGGGGAGTAGACAGGGGGCACAGACGGAAGAAGTAAAAATGATTAAGATGCCATACTTATATGCACCAATTTCAGAAGATGAATGTAACTATTATGTATCACAAATATACACTAAGAATAAAATAAACGAATAACTAAATCTAGCAGTCTAGGGAGAAGGGGTGGAAAATTTTTGACCAGGAACATGAAATTTGCGGTGTTGCTCAGGTAAATCAAATTACTCCAACTTACTTATTAAAGGTAAAATATGATACAGGATAGGCTGTAAGGACTACCTTATTGCGGGGTTATAAACATTTTGTGTTTATACTGGTGAAACTTCGCGAAAACAAAACACAACCAAGAAAAGCCCTTCAAAGAAACTGCAAGGTATTTGTTCTGCACTTCACTTTTAAACTCTTTGAGCTGCAGACATTTTTAAATCATACTGCGGTGCATAACATTTATTTACTGAATGACATGCGGTTAAGTTTGGGCTTCCTGACTGTTCGTCTTCCTAAAACAAACTTCCGAGTGATGCCACAGACATATTATTCAGCTCCTACTTGAGCGCCTGGTGACCCTGCAGGCCGACTACTTGCGGGGAGGGCTTGGTTCCTGGCCAGGCAGGCGATTTAGCAACCTGAGTGCTCAGCGTTCTGCAAGACCCCAAACAAGCGCAAAGCACCGGGAAACTGGGCCACGCCGCTCTCTCCAGGGCCCTCTTCCCTCCCCTCAGCCCTTCCTCCACGCTTCCCTTCTCCTCATTCGTAATAAGGACACGCTGGACGGAGGTCCTGGCCAGTTCTCAAGGACAGCTACGACGTGAAAAGTGAGCTCTGCGAGGTCGTAAGGGCCGACCGCTCCTCCTGCTCTGCTCCACCTCAGGGAAGCAGGTTCCGCTACCGCAGAAGGCGCAGTTCCGAAGGCTTCCCGAAAAGACTGCAGGAGCCAAAGCAGCCTCGCCTGCTCCTGCACTGACGACTACCTGCCTCGCACCAGCTTACCCCAAATTCATGGCCTCACAAGCGTCGCCCAAGCCGCGGCAGCGCCTTGTGTACGATGGTTGCTGGCTGTGCTCAACAAGCGCTGAGCCGATTGGCTCCAGCGATGCCGGCGAGCCTGAAGGAGGACCAATCAGAGCGGGGCGTGCTGGTGCGTGCGCTCAGCCTGGGGAGGGCCCGACTGGGGCAGAGGAAGCAGCTGCTGTATCTGCTGTGGCTTTGTAGTGGTGATGTTGTCTGGGATCAGTCGGGAGGCGGGGAGGAATGCATTTGAATCGGTGGAGGTGGCAAAAGAGAAACAAAAAGTGTAAATCTTTAATTCGTATTTTTTGTGCTGTATTTTATATTTGGAAGAGAGATTTATTTTTAGCACCAAACAGTTGGGCGAGAGGGACACCTAGGCACGGGTTGATTCTTTTATTTTCCTGTAACCTGGGCGTCAAGTCCGGTATATTTTAGTTCTTTTAAAATACTGTAGCAACAGCCTGGGTATGGTGTCGCACCCCTGGAGTCCCAGCACGTAAGAGACTGAGGCAGGAAGATTGCTGCGAGTTTGAGACCCGTGTGGGCTACACAGTGAGCTCAAGGACAGCCTGAATTGCATAGTGAAATCCTGCCTCAAAATGAAAGCAAAACACTGTAGCAACAATCATATGTACTCAGTAAATGTAAGTGTTTCGTGCCACTTATGAATCTAAGTCCTGGTATTGTTATACTAAGATGCTGAAAAATTAAAATAGTTGATTAAAAGATAATTAACAAAAATAGTTACTTAAAAAGATAGTTATTAGTAATATTGTCATTCTGTACTGAGCTCGTTACCCTAGTAACCAAGCACCAACTTCATAGTTATAAATTAACTGGCCTCATTGTTCTGCTGTTCTGTAATGAGTCATTCCCCCCTACCTTAGTGACCTGTGTGCAATGTCAACTTTTGTTCCCCTTGTAAGAGACAAAATGATGCTGTGTCAACCATTGTTCCCTTTATGAGAGACAAATGTTCCTGGAATTGGCAGACCAAGGGCTATGAATTGGCTAACCACCCACTGTGAAATGCCTCTTACCTCAAGCAAAGGGGAACAAAAGGCCCACCTTATTTCTGTTTCTTATCCCTATATACTTAATGATCAGTGAGCTAATCATAAATAAACTATGAAAATCAGTCAAAACTCTAACTCAGTTGCACAGCTTTGCAAATTCCATCTGCACTGTGTCGCTGGGCCAGCTAAAATAAAAGCGCTTCTTTTAAAAAAGACGTCTTGCCCCATTTGTCATCTTGGGGTCTTTCCCCATTTTTCATCTCAGGGGCTCTGCGGGGATCACAACATTTGGGGGCTCTCTGGGATTACACGGGGACCCCTCCCCACATTTTTTTCACCGATCGATCGGCTTGAACTATCTGTAAGTATTTGGATCTTTTGTTCTTTGTAATTTGAGTGGAGCCTGGCTAGTTCTTTCTGCACCGGAGCAGGACGCCCTCCGGGAACGGGCTTCTAGCCCATTTGTGACTTGGGGCTTTTTTCTTTTTTTCCCTTTTGCTTTTGTGCTTGGTATATTTTTACTGTAAAGCCATTTGTTCGTTTAAATTTAAATCTGTTTACCTCAGTATTAACATTTAGGTTTATTTCTCGTAAACTATTGTTGCAGGTTCTATGTGGCTTCTTGGGCTTGAGGCTTATAACAAAAATTGTTTCCCTATAGGTTGCCAGACAACTGTGGATCGAGAAGCCTTTGTGTGTGTGTTTTGTTTTTCTTGTCTTCTGTGGCGCCTTGTGTTGTGTTATTGTCATTGACCGGTTACTAATAATTATGGGCCAGGCATCATCAACCGAGCTCTTGACTCCCCTGACCCTGGTTCTTAATTATTTCAGAGATTTCAAGGTTCAAGCCCAAGGATATGGAGAACCAGTACATTCTGGGAAACTCCATATTTTTGTGAGCTTAAATGGCCTGCTGGAGTTTCTAACTGGCCCCCGGCAGGTAGTTTTAATTTCTCCATAGCTCAGGCTGTCCAACAATATGTCTTTGGACCCCCAACCCACCCAGACCAGATTGTGTACATTCAGGTTTGGAATGATCTCATTTGTGATCCACCTTCTTGGCATAAAAGATTTCTTAAGACCTCTGAGCTTCATTTTAAGAACCCCTCTCTCTTGGCACCTCTGAAAGTAAAACCAAAGCCTGCGTCTGAGCTATGCCCGATTCTCCCTGCCGAGGAAGATAAACTTCTGCCGCTGCCTTACTGGCCCTCAACACCAATGCCGGTTCCTCCTAAACCAGTACCCCCTTCTCGCCCCCCTAGCCCTATCCGAACCAGAAGTTGTTCGGAATCACCTGATTCCTGCACCTCAACTCCTGCCCTTCTTCCTCTGCATGATATCCCTAACTTGAGGATCCCTCTGCCCCAATATTTACCTATGTCCCATTTGCTACTTCTGACCTTTACAATTGGAAGCAACAAAACCCCCCTTTTTCTAAGGATCCTCAAGGCATTATTTCTCTTTTGGAATCAATCTTCTTCACTCACCGTCCCACTTGGGACGATTGTCAGCAGATTTTGCAGGTCTTGTTCACAGCGGAGGAGAGGGAACACAACTGTATGTTAGGATGAAAAGCAGTGCGTGATCCTGACGGGAACTCATCCTCTGATCCTGAGCTACTGAACCGCGATTTTCCTTTGTCCCGACCTAACTGGAATCCTAACACAACTGAGGGTAAGAAGGCTCTCGCTCAGTATTGCCAGTTGTTCCTAGAAGCTCTTAAAGGCGCTGCTAGGAAACCCACCAATTTGTCCAAGGTCTCAGAGGTAAGGCAATTGGCTAATGAGTCTCCCTCGGGGTTTCTGGAAAGGCTACAGGAGGCCTATCACATTTATACCCCTATAGATCCGGTGGCACCTGAAAATGCAAGGGCCATTAATATTGCCTTTGTGACTCAGTCGGCCCCAGACATTAAAAGAAAACTGCAAAGCCTTGAGGGATTTGAGGGAATGCCTCTTAGCCAGTTACTAGAAATAGCTCAGAAGGTGTTCGACAACCTTAAAGATCCCAGAGATCAAAAAGTGAAAAAGGTACTAGAAATACTGACTAGGAAAGTGACCAAAATGGATTCAAAGTCTCGCTTGCCTATAGATAAAAATCAATGTGCCGACTGTAAGGAAATGGGACACTGGCGAAAGGACTGCCCCAAGCTAAAGGCCAAATTGGAAAGAAAAACCAAAGCTCTATTGTCCCGTGATTAGGGAAGTCAGGGCTCTCATGCCCCCCCTGAGCCCAGGCTAACTCTGTCTGTGGGGGGCCAACCAATTGATTTCTTAGTGGACTCCGGAGCTGCTCATTCAGTTTTGACTCGACCAATAGGGACCCCTACAGGAAATAAATTAAAGGTATTAGGAGCTACTGGCACCACAAGAGTATATCCAAAGTTTCAAGCTCAGCTAGCCTGACCAGGACAAAAGACTATCTCTCATGAATTCCTCTGGGTCCCAGAATGCCCAGATCCCTTGCTAGGCCGAGACCTCTTGCATAAACTAAAAGTTCATCTCAGTTTTGAAGCAGCTACCCCAACAGTGCAAATGGACAATGGCCCACCTGAATTCCTTGGTGCCAGGGTCCTTGCTTTATATCCTGAGGGTGAAGGACATTTATTATTGAAAAGTCCTAATTTTTTAAATGACAATAAACTATTGTGCCGTTGGATGCAGGAAATCCCTGGGGTTTGGGCAGAACACAATCCTCCTGGTCTGGCAGTGAACCAAGTCCCTTTAGTGATTGAGCTTTTACCTCAAGCTGCTCCTATTTGGCTCAGGCAATATCCTATCAGTCTGAAGGCACTCCAAGGCATAGCCAGGCATATATTAAGGTTAAAAAACTATGGTATATTAAAATCCTGTGTCTCTCCTTGGAATACCCCCTTGTTGCCTGTTCAAAAGCCGGGAACCCAAGATTACCAGCCAGTACAAGATCTCAGAGAAGTAAACAAAAGAGTTGTAACTCTCCATTCTATGGTACCTAACCCCTACACTTTATTGAGTTTGTTAAGCCCAGAGCGGATCTGGTATTCAGTGCTAGATTTAAAAGATGCCTTCTTCACTTTGCCCATCGCTCTGGTAAGTCAGCCTATCTTTGCTTTTGAATGGACTGACCCCACTACAGGAGTGCCAGAGCAATTGATTTGGACATGCTTGCCAAAAGGTTTTAAAAATGCGCCGACTCTTTTTGACGAGGCTTTAGCCAGAGACCTTTTGTGTTTCAGAGAGGACTACCCAAACGTGACACGTTTGCAATATGTTGATGACATTCTAGTGGCAACAGAGTCTTATAAAAGTTGTATTAGTGCTTCTCAAGCCCTCTTAAAGACCCTAGATGAGTTGGGCTATAAGGGCTCAACTAAAAAGGCTCAGTTATGCCAAAAACAGATAACCTACTTAGGTTACCAAATTTATGAAGGAAAACGGACTCTTTCCTCCCATCGGATACAAGCTATCCAACAGATCCCTGTCCCTGTGACTAAGAAGCAGGTACGAGAGTTTCTGGGAGCCGTAAGATATTGTCGGCTTTGGATTATTAATTTTGCTGAAATAGCCCAGTCACTTTATGACTCATTGAGAGGGGCCACTCAAGACCCTCTAGAGTGGACAGACTCACAAGACCAGGCCTTTAAGCAACTGAAATCAGCCTTAACAGAAGCTCCAGCTCTGGCTCTGCCAAATTTATAGAAACCTTTTTCCCTCTATGTTGATAAAAAGCGAGGGATAGCAAAAGGAGTACTAACCCAGAGTTTAGGGCCATGGCAAAGGCCTGTTGCCTATCTTTCCAAGAGACTTGATAATGTGGCAGCTGGATGGCTGCCTTGCCTGTGGGTGATTGCCTCAGTGGCCCTCTTAGTGAAAGAGGCCCAAAAGTTGACATTTGAACAAAAACTTTTGATTATTTCTTCTCATTCATTGGAAACACTTCTTAAGGCTCCACCAGATCGATGGCTGTCTAACTCCTGAGTTATGCACTATCAAGCACTGCTCCTGGATCCAACTACTATCAGCTTCAAGGAAACAGCAGCCTTAAATCCTGCTACCCTGCTGCCTGATGATGATCCCTCCTTGCCTCTCCACAATTGTATTGAGGTCATTGATCACCTCACAGGACTTCGACCAGATTTGACGGACGAGCCACTACCTGGAGTTCCATCCTACTTCTCCGATGGAAACAGTTACATCTATCAAGGTAAGTGGGTTGCAGGAGCTGCCGTCACTACGGACTCTCAGATTCTATGGGAACAAACCTCAGAGCCAGGAACATCAGCTCAACAAGCTGAACTCAGCTCTTACTGAGGCCCTCAAGTTGTCAGAAGGAAAAGACATAAACATTTATACTGACAGCAGATATGCATTTGCTACTGCCCATGTTCATGGGGCCATTTATCGGGAATGAGGTTTATTGACTTCAGGGGGCCAAAAGATTAAAAATGCTTGCCAAATTTTGGATTTGCTGGCTGCCATTTGGATGCCAAGAAAGGTGGCTATTATTCACTGCAAAGCCCATCAAGTGGGAGATGATCCTGTTACACGAGGGAACAATCTAGCAGACACCACTGCCCAAAAAGTGGCCACAAAATCAGTGGAGATTGAGACAGCCCCAACATTGCTGCTGATTCCACCTACTCTGTCAAAGCCCTTTTACACTCAAAAAGACTTACATTTGGCAGCTCAACTCCAAGCAAAACCTGATATCCCCGGGGGCTAGTACCAACTGCCTGATAATCGAGTCCTCCTCCCCGAGGCCGTGGGACAAGAACTCATCCAACAAGCTCATTAGTCCACTCATATGGGAGGATCAAAACTAGCTGCTCTTTTTCGAGATCATTTCTTTATCCCTCAGTTATCAAAGCTTACTCAGTCTGTGAGCCTTAGATGCCCTCAGTGCCAGTTGGTGAACCCAAAGGGATCACAACAAATGGAAACCACTCATTATCGTGGGACTATGCCTGGGGAACATTGGGAAGTAGACTTTACAGAAATGGGGAAGCCTGGACTTCAAGGGTATAAATATTTGCTAGTAATGATTGATACTTTCACTGGATGGGTTGAGGCCTTTCCCACTAAATCTGAATCAGCTCAGATGGTAGTCAAAAAGCTTTTATATGAAGGTTGTCCCACAATTTGGTCTCCCTTTATCCATGGGGTCCGACAATGGCCCGGCTTTTATAGCCCAGATAACTCAAAAACTAACCCAAGCTTTGCAGATTGATTGGAAACTCCATTGTGCTTACTGGCCTCAAAGTTCAGGACAAATAGAAAGGATGAACCAGACCCTAAAAACGATAATAACTAAGATGACATTAGAAACTGGCGAAAACTGGGTGAGTCTCCTTCCTTTTTTGCCCTCTTGCGCACGCGATGTACCCCCTATGTTGCAGGTATTTCCCCTTTTGAAGCTCTATATGGGAGACCTCCTCCTCTTATTCCTAAGATTTCTGAGGAAAAATTAGCTGATCTGGCTAATCAAGATCTCATTAAGTCCCTCCAGGCCCTCCAGCCAGTACTAACTTCTATCCATCGATTATTCCGGCAACAACATCCTCCACCTACAGTCCACTCTGAAAAACGCCCTACAGTGGAACCTGGGACACTAGTCCTCATCAAGAGACATCACCATGAATCCCTTGAACCATGGTGGGAGGGCCCCTATGCCATGGTTCTCAGCACTCCGACTGCCATCAAAGTCGCAGGAAAGCCTGCCTAGATTCATCAATCCCACTTCAAGCCAGTTCCAGCCTCTGACAGTGATCAACCTACAGATAAGTGGACTGTTGTTCCCTCCAAGGATCCTTTAAAACTTAAAATTGCCAAATGTATCCAATAATCTTGTTCTTATATATTTTTCCTTATGGCGGCCCCAGTGAGATACCTCATAACCCACTGTTTGGAACTTGAAAAATTACTAACTATTTCACCGGTAAATTATTGGTAGCCAATGCTACTGTCCATGGGATAATTAAGGTAGATTTATGTGTCCTATTAGATAACATCCCAGCAAAAATTAGACAAAAGAGAATGTTATTGGGTCAGCATTCCATACTGCATGATTGGTTGCTAATAAAACCATCTGGACCTTGTAGGGACTTACGTAGTCAAAAGGAATTACAGTTTACTGACTGTTATCTTTGCCCCAAAAAACAGCCAGCCTCTGATCACACTGATCACACTAGTAGGTGTTCACAGTCCATAGAGACAAAATATTTTTATAAACATTGGGGTTGTGAGTCTATATCTCCTTGGCAGGAAAATAAAGGGGATCATTACCTTTTCCTTACTCGGGAGACCCCATCTTCCTGCACCCTCAACCAATGTAATCTTATGACTTTCAGACCTAAATCCCAACTGACCCTGTTTGGAAAGCAGGATTGCATTATGGTATCGGGTTGTGGGTTTCTGGATATGACCCAGGAAGTGCCTTTACCATTCAGTTCATTCCTGGGCCTGTTTGGACAGCTCCCATCAGGTCCATAGGCCCTCAAGCTCCCCAGCCACCTCAATCTCCTCCTTTTACTCATCTTCTGCCCTCCTCCACTAGACTTCCTGCTCCTAAGACCTTTTTGCCCTCTGCCATTTCTGCAGCATCCCTAGACCCTTTCTTGCCTCTGGACATTGCTTACCAGTTTCTTAAACCGAGTGCCCCAAACTTCACTGCTGACTGCTAGCTATGCCTTCCATCTTGACCTCCCTTCTATATGGGCACCCCTGTAACTATTATGACAAATCAACTTTTAAATTCCTCTGCAGATGACACCTCTTGTTGGTGGGGTACTAGGCCCCTGCTCACACTGGACAGTATACAGAGTACTCCAGGAACCTCTGCCTCCTACTCCTTGCACACTTCCCCTTATGCTGCACTCTGTAATCTAATCTCTTCAGTTGTGATTCATAATTTTTCCTATCCTGCTAATCAACACCTTGTTGCTCCCAACAGAACCTGGTTTGCCTGTACTTCTGGCATAACTCCATGTTCTATACATCACCTGTTCACCCAGCACCCTGAGCTTTGCATATTGGTTCATATTTTTCCCCAAGTGTATTGGTACTCTAGAGATAATGATAAGAGTCATTTGCTCCCTAACTTTGACTTAAAGAGTACAGTCCAAATAAAGAGAAATCGTATACTCTTACCCGTATTATTGGGAGTTGGGTTGGCAGGGTCAGTAGGTTTAGAAGTGTCCAGCTTAATAACTGAAAAACAAAATTATAGACACTTAAATACACTCATTAACCAGGATCTAGCAGCCCTCAGTGACTCTGTCTCCAAATTAGATGATTCTTTAAGTTCACAGCTGAGATGGTTTTACAAAACCGGCGGGGTCTAGATCTCCTGTTCCTAAAGAAAGGAGGCCTTTGTCTGGCATTAGGAGAAAATTGTTGTTTGTATGCCAGTCATTCTGGGGTTATCAGACAAAGTATGGCCAGCCTTAAAAGGCAGTTACAGGATCAAGAACAAGCCAGACAAGCTAAATAGAACTGGTTTGAGCGATGGTTTTCTCTATCTCCCTGGTTGACAACAATAATCACAGCAGCCTCTGGACCTCTGTTAATCTTACTTACTTGTTTGACAATTGGACCTTACATTATAAACAGATTAATAAATTATGTCAAAGAACGGGTTCGAACAATAAAACTCATGGTTCTAAGGACACAAGTTTATGAACAAATACCACTGCTTGAAAATTCCATGAGCCAATGGATCACTGACAAAAATCAGTGGGGAATGTTATACTAAGATGCTGAAAAATTAAAATAGCTGATTAAAAGATAATTAACAAAAATAGTTACTTAAAAAGATAGTTATTAGTAATATTGTCATTCTGTACTGAGCTCGTTACCCTAGTAACCAAGCACCAACTTCATAGTTATAAATTAACTGACCACATCATTCTGCTGTTCTGTAATGCGTCATCCCCCCTACCTTAGTGACCTGTGTGCAATGTCAACTTTTGTTCCCCTTGTAAGAGACAAATGATGCTGTGTCAACCATTGTTCCCTTTATGAGAGACAAATGTTCCTGGAATTGGCAGACCAAGGGCTATGAATTGGCTAACCACCCACTGTGAAATGCCTCTTACTTCAAGCAAAGGGGAATAAAAGGCCCACCTTATTTCTGTTTCTTATCCCTATATACTTAATGATCAATGAGCTAATCATAAATAAACTATAAAAATCAGTCAAAACTCTAACTCAGTTGCACAGCTTTGCAAATTCCATCTGCACTGTGTCACTGGGCCAGCTAAAATAAAAGCGCTTCTTTTAAAAAAGACGTCTTGCCCCATTTGTCATCTTGGGGTCTTGCCCCATTTGTCATCTTGGGGTCTTGCCCCATTTTTCATCTCAGGGGCTCTGTGGGGATTACAACAGTATCTGTTATTTAAGCTTAATAAAGTCATCTCTGAGGCACACAGACTTTAAACAACTTATCCATCTGTCCTTTGAGCAATTTAACACCAGAGCCCATGTCTCCATCCAATGTAACTTAACTCCTACTCATCCAGCAAGTCTCATTTTAAATGCCACTTTCTCCTGGATTCTCTCTTGCAATACACTAGTGTGTAGATTTGGACAAAAATATTTAAACACACAAAAAGACAGAATAGTGCAGTTAATAGCTATATTTACCTAGATTTGACAGCTGCTAAATTCTGGCTGTGTTTGCTTTCCCTATCCACCTCTCCCTCTCTACACATGGACACACACACAGCTCTTCGCAGAGTCATCGTTTGTAACTAAGTTGCAAATATTATCATACTTCATCCCTAAATGTTACGGCATGTGTTTACTAAGAATGATGTGTTCTACATATCCCAGCACCATTATCACACCTAAGAAAATTAACAGTCTTATGATAACATGTCCCTATTTAATCTCACCCACTTGTCCAAAGCATATTTTATGATTTTTTTATTTGGAAAGAAAGTACTAGTGAAGGATTGCACATTACACTTGGTTATTATGATTTGTTTGCTTGCTCTCTGTCTCTCTGTTTCTCTGTCTCTCTCTCTGTCTCTCTCTTTCTCTCCTCTGTCCTCTTTCTTCTCTCCCTTCTTCCTGCCATGAGATGAGCAGGTTTCCTTTGCCACGATGCTCTGTCTCACTGCAAGCCTGATGGAGCCATCTAACCATGGCTGAAATCTCAGGAATCATGGGCCCAAATGAATCTTTCCTCCTTTTAAATTTTTTTAAATCAGGTATTTTATCGCAGCAACAAAAAGCTGGCTAATACAATGTACATTTGGGTTGTTTCTGCCTTTGGGTTAATTGTGAATAATGTAGTGAACACTGATGTCCAGTATCTGTTTGAATTCCTAGTTGCAATTACTTTGCTGGGTATCCAGGAGTAGATTTGCTGTTGTATCAGATTATGATTCTATGATTTTGAGACACTTCCAAACAATTCTTAACAGTTTGGCTTCATCACATTCCCCCCAGCAGCGTGTTAGGGTCCCAATTACTCTACATTCTTTCCAACACTTATTTTTCCTTTTTAAAAAATTTTAACCAGGCTGGGGATTTAGCTCAGGGGCATAAGCACCTGCTCAGCAAGTACAAGGTTGTGAGTTTGACTCCCAGTACCAAAGAAAAAAACCAAAAAAGAACACAAAACAAAACAAAAAAACACAAAACTATAACCATCCCAGATTCCTTGGTTCTGACAGATAGTTGTTTTTTTGTTTTATTTTGTTATTTCCAAAGGCTTCTTAGGGAGGGGAATAAAACTTTACATGAAGTTTGTCCCCTAACACCTCATGTGCTCAGAGGCAGGGTTTGGATGATGAGTTTAGAACTAAACGTGTTGTTGAGGGGTAGAGCTGGCCAGAAGAGGCTGGAAGGGTAGAACTCCCTTCCCAGCTCCTTGCTTCGCTCTGCTTCCTGGCCACCACAAGATGAAGAGCTTCCTTTCACTCAGAGCCTTCCACCAGGTCCTTTTGCCTGGGATCCAGATGACTATGGATTGAAAACATGAGCTAAAACAAATCTCTCTCCCTTTAAATGGCAGGTATTGGGCATTGTGTTCCAGAGAGGAAGAAAGTAACTAAGATAGTCCCTCACCTTGCTGCTGCCACCTCCATTTACTCTCTTATGAAACATAAAACGGTCACTCCACCTGTTTTCCTCCACGGTACTAACTCTGAAAACTTGAAGCTACTTGCCTTGGAGAATGGCCTATAATCTGATTTGTCTGATTGCTCTAGTGTAGTTTTGCTGTTATATCCTTCTTCCTGGAAGCTTCAAATTAAACCTTTAAGGTATACTTTAAGCCATATGTAGTGGTACACACCTGTAATCCCAGCACTTGGGAGGCTAAGGCAGGAGGACTCAGAGTTCGAGCCCAGCCAGGGTATATAGTGAGTTTGAGCCAAGCCTAAACTACATGGCAAGTCCTTGTCTCAAAAAACAAAACAAAAGATACTCTGGATTGATGTTTCATGGTTTACAGTTTACCATCACATCAGGGGTACTTTTTAAAAAAATTTTATTTAAGGAGAAAAAAACCAGAGAAGTGTACAAGTTATACAGAATTTCAGAGAAAATAAACATTAGAAATCACTAGTTAATAGATTACATATTGTCATCTTAGAAATAGTTGTTCAAGTTACAAAATTAAAGCATATAGAGTAGACATTCAAATAGTGAGACTGCAAACAGTTCTGTTCAATGATCCAATAAAACTCAGTAATATGGTTATCTATCTTATACACTTAAATATACATGCAGTTATATCCTTTAGAGCACTTTCTTTTCCTTTCTTTTGTACAATGACAATTACACATTTTGGGTTTTATTACTCCTACAGTTCTTATTACTGTTTTTTTAAGAGAGTAAAACCAATTGTGACATAACAGGACAGAGTCAGTCAAATCAAAAGGATGGACATAATAGATAATGTAAAAACAAAATACTAGGTGATCAACAATGGTTACCATAATGCCTCTTGCTATCTTAAAAAGAATTGCCTATATCATCAGTTATAATAAAATTAAACAAAACAGTAAAGAACAAAACCAATAAAACTAAAACATTGGAGACATTAGAGGACTTCAAAAGAAGATAATAGTCAACCAGAATGGGCATCATAATGAATCTTATTGTCTTCACAGTTGTTGCCTATACTTACGAACTTGGTACTATCAAGCAAAACAGAATAGAGGAAAATCAGTCAAAACAAGATGGTGAGGGCAATACAGGGTTTCAAATCAAGTTAATAGGAAATCAAAGTGGGTTACTATAATATATCCTGCTATTTTTTATTTATTTTATCCTTAATTAAAAGGATAAAAATGAAAAAGTAAATAATAAAAGGAGACTGGGATAAAAGAGGGCATAACTACAAAACAGTGCAGGTCAAAACATAACCACTTATGCAAATAGTGTTTTACCACAAGATAATCCCGACATAAAAGTAGTTACCATAGTGTCTCTTTCCTTGAAATCTTTGAGTATAACTTCATATACTGTAGCATCAAACATATCAAGACAATGTAAAACCATTCAAGAGAATGACAGTATTATAGGGTTTTTAGAACCAACTAACAGAAAATGAACAATGGGTTCTGTATAATCTCCTTGTCTATAAAAGTTTTTGTTTATATTATCACATATAATAAAATCCAATAAGATACAACCTGTTAAGACCGATGGAGACAGAAGAACAAAAGCTTGATGGGACTTTAAAACAAGATGATATTAAATCAGCACTGCCTATTATGATGTCTTGTTTTCTCCAAAATAGCTGTTCCTACCATCCAACCTTTTCTGTCTCATTTTTGTTGAGCTCTTTTTCTGTCATTAGTTGTCAGTTTGTCTTCTTCATTTTGCTTTCTGCTTCATTCATTGTGGCCTCTCTGCCACTGTTTCTGGAATCTTGGTATTTTTCTTTTTTAGAACATCTTGCAGTAATCTCTGTAGAGTTGAATTGGTGGTTGCAAATTCCCCTAGGTCCTCTTTATCTTGGAAGCACTTTGTTTTTCCATCAATTTCTAGGGACCGTTGTGCAGGATATGTCAATCTTGGCTGGAGGTTGTTATCTTTCAAAGCTTGAATTATTTCCCCCCATGCTCTTTGTGATTTGATGGTTTGTGCCGAGAAGTCTGCTGTAATTCTGATGGGTGTTCCCTTGTAAGTGATGTGTTTCTTGTCTCTGACAGCTTTTAATATTCTGTTCTTATATTGTATTTTTGGAATTTTGATTATTATATGCCTGGGTGTTGTTCTGTTTGGGTTGTAGGTGGCTGGGGTCCTGTATGCCTCACACATCTGAGTATCTTTACCTTTTGCTAAATCATGGAAATTCTCTTGGATTATGTCTGTGAATAGCTTTTGTAGTCCATTTGTTTGTGTCCCTACTTCTTCTTTTATGTTCTTAATTCTTAAGTTATAAATCCTCTTATCATCTTCTAGCCTTTGTATTATTGCTATTTGTTTTCTTGTTATTTTTAAGAAATTTTTCATTTCATGCTCCCACATTACAAATCTGTCCTCCAGTTCAGATAATCTATCCTTAGTTTCTTTCAAGCAGTTATGCCAGCTTTCAATAGAGTTTTTAGTTTCCTGGTAATCTCTTTGAACTTGCTTCACGTATTCTATGTTTTCTCTATTTTCTTCATCAAACAATTCTCCCCTTTTTTTCTGTTCTTCCATTCCACCATCTGTTTTTTCTTGGGCGGTGCTTAGCATTTCTCTAACTATTCTACTTATATCTTGCTTTATTTCGTTAAATACTTCACTTTTAAACTCGTCTATGAGGTTCTGGAGATATTGCTTTATGTTTATTGGTGCCATGTCTGATATTGCATGTTTCCTGTCTTCATTCTCCTTTGTGTTTCCCTTTCCTGGATCAGTGTTCTCAGGATTGGGGACTGAGGACCCTTTCTTGTTGCTCCCTCTTCCCATACTTTTTGTTCCTTCCATACAAGTGTATATAGGAGGCCCAGTTTTTTTTTCTGTCATAGTTTGTTTGAATCTGTCGGGTAGGTGTTCCTGCCCATTGCAGTGTACTAGGAGACACAGACCTGGGGAAGCCTCTGCTGGGCCTGCCCCTCCAGATCAACCTACTGAAGTTCACTGCTAGGGTGTGTCACCAGGTGCTGGGACCTGGTTTGGGCTAGCCTACTGGATCTTAGTCTGCAATGTCACCCAGTCCAGGCACTCCCCACCAATCCTGCTTGAGGGGTGAATATGCGACTAAAGTCACTGCAGTGTCCTGTTCTGGCTAGTCCGCCCAGTCCCAGAATTTCCTCTTTTGGAGCCTCCTAGTCTATGG